TTTTTTTTTTTTTTTTTTTTTTTTTTAATTTTAATGGTACCAGGGATCGAACTTGGGACCTTGCGCTTGCAAAGCAGGAGGCAGAACCACTGAGCTAAATCTCTGGCCCTGTTCTTTTCCTGTCTTGATCTTTGGCCTCTTAACAGACAGGCTCTGCTAGAGACTCTGTGGTAATAATCTGATCGCCTCTTCTTTGGATGAAGGTACTTGTCTGGATTCTATTTCTGCCCAACCAGCCATTCTCTTTCTTGTAGTATCTTGCTAAATGTAGCGCTGCGTAGCCAACACATGCAAATGCTTGGCTCTTTCCAGTGATTTTTCTAGAATGACAAGCTCAGTGGGCATGTGGTGATTGTTGACTTGGTTGAGTGGAGAAACACCTAGGAAATTAGTGGAGTACACTGCCTGTGAGGGTGTTTCCAGAGACCATTGGCACGTGGCACAGAAAACTCGTGGTGGGGACATGGCTGAATTTGGAGAGCTCCACTCAATAGGCCAGGGGCCCGGATGGAACAGAAAAGGAAGAAGCCTGTCTGCACATCCTCTTTACCTCCCACTCTGCCTCCTGCCGCCTTGAGCAGCTTTCCTCCACCATGCCCTTTCACTGTGATGCTCCGGCCTCACCATGGCCCCAGAACAGTGGACTGAAATCTCTGGGACCATGAGCCAAAGTAAAATACTGCTCCTGCAAGTTCATTTCCTCAGGTATTCTGTAGCAGCAACTGAAGCTGACTCACACACATAGGACACTTCCCAAATTACCACACACGATGTTTGCAATAAATGTTTTGTCCCAGCTTAACAAGAGTCACCACCTTTCTGTCTTCCGGTATCCGTTTCTCTATCTCATCCTTCATTGGGGGGCTGTAACCAAGGCAGTTTCATACTCCTGGGACCAAGTTCAGTAGTAGAGTTTCTCTAAGCTGTTGTTTTAAGGAACTCCAAATACCGAGGCTTTAAGATTATGGAAACTGAGAGCCAGGGATGTAGCCTAGCAGCACCTCGCCTGCCTGGCAAGTGCAAGGTCCTGAGTTCGATACCCAGTACCAGAAAAAGAAAAAAACATTATGGAAACCAAATCATTTCTCATATAGCATAAAATTCTGATGTATTTCAGGCTTCATCCAGGTGGATGGTGGGGTTTGAGAGATATCCAGCATATGATCCCTCCCCATCCTTCTCTTCCCCGAAACGGCCCCTGTTAGTCTAACAGCTGCTCAAGTAAAGACCCAGAAATCAGCCTTGCTTCTTCCCCCAGCCTCACACCTTACTTTCAGGCGGGCCCCAGATCTGGCCTTTCCTGTAACTCCTTGGCCCCGACCCTAACCCAGTCTTCCTACCCAGGCGGGAATCCCCTGAGTGGGCTGCTTCCCAGGCTGCTCACCAGGTGACAGGAAGAGTGAGTTTTCAAAACATAAACTGTGAGAACTTTCCAGTGCCTTACTAGTGCCCTTATAATGAAACCCTATTTCCCTAGCTCCGGCTTGGGGCCCCTAGTGACGGTACCTACTTCCCATGCTCCTCACCCACTCTGCTTAAGCTTCATGGCGTCCTCAATGTTCATGGAATAAGCCAAACATCTTCCTTGGTGCCTTGGCATTAGGGTCTCTGCCCAAGCACTCTCTTCCCACTGTGTTACCTGCTAGTCCCTTCTTCATCCTCCACGGGTCAGACCACCACAGGGTGGTGGGCAGGGAGAGGGCTCAGACCCTCACTGCCTGGGGCTGAAGCCCAGTCCTGCTGCTTGCTAGCTGTAGGGCCTCGGGCAAATTGCTTGACTTTCTGTGCTGTGGTCTTTCCAACTGTAACGGTAGGAACAGTAGAACTTGTTACCCAGAGTTCCTGAGAAGATGAAATAACATGGCTAACATGTCCACTAAAGGGCCTAGTGCACAGAAGCACACGGGCTGGCTCATGTTAGCACTTAGTGGTGCTATTACTGTCTCAGGTGTCTGCTACATGTCACCCTCTCCTGGTGACCAGCTGCGTACACCTCTCTGTTTAACCCTGCATTGGGGTTGCCCCATCCCACGTTATTGTTCCCATAGCACGTGCTCCTGTTTCTGTCCATCCCCATCCTACTAGAACGCCTCTTCAGGAGGAGGTGACTTCATCTTTCTCCACTGCCATTTCCTTCCCGAGCCAGTACACAGTGGCATTTCCACAAACCTTTGTTGAATGGATACACAGGGAACGGAGACCGCATCCCATGATTTCCTTCACAGCCCTGGCCCTGTAGGCTGTGCTCAAGGCCGGCTCCAGCAGGCACGGTGTCACATGAGCTGGGGCCTTGACAGCATGGACTCTCTGTCCACCCCACCTGGTTCCCTGCTCTGCTGATGGCCTGGTTACTCACCCACCAGGGCCTCCCTTTTCCACTTGGAAAATTGAGAGTATGGATTGCCTGCTGGGGCTATTATGAGGACGAAGCAGGATAATGTATGTAAAACGGAGCTCACTGCCAGGCTGGGAGTGAAGCGCTCCAGATGGTAGCTATTATTATTGTTGTTGTTAGTGCCATAGCCAAAGTGTCATTCTTCAGTCAGGAATGGCGGTGCCTGGGGCACTTAAGAGGGTCTCGAGGACATCTAGAACAGGAGTGGAATAATGGGGTGTGTGTGTGAGTGCGCACGCTCCTAGGAAGTGGTGGTCAGGATACAGAGGAGCCCGCCCCCTTTTCAGCTCTAGGGAGCCTAGTGCCCAGGCTCTGCCCGCTGCTAGGAGAACCCCGCAGCGGAGTAACCAGCGCCTGGACTGTGAGCCTCTGGGATGAGGGGCGGGCGAGGGGGGACCTGCGCCCCCGCGGCCACTCGGGTTGGTGCAGGCTCGGTGGCTCCCAAAACCTGCTGATCCGAGGACCCTAGTTGTCTCCTGCCTCGGCTCTCCCCCGGAACCGCGCTGGTGGGGGCTCCCCTTCCGGGGCCGGGCTGGTGAGGAGCGGGCGGGGGAAGGGGCCGTTACTTTCCCAGAGCGGCGGGGCG